CCAGGAGGAACAACCACAGTGGCAGGGGCCAGAGCTGGAGCCCTGGATTCAGCCCCCGCAGTTAACTACCGGAGCTCTCCATCCGCAGGGCCTGGACGCTCCGGGGGCAGGGGCCGCTGATCTGGTCAGCTTGCGGCAGGAGTGTCCTTGCTGTCCTGTGCCCTCCCGGCCTCTGCCTGTCCCGGGGGGAGGTCGGATCCTGGGCTGTGTCCCGGCGCCCTGTGCTCCCGGCATGCGCTGTTGGATTCGCGCTCCCGGCTACGCAGCCCCCTCCGCAGGAGCCCCTGTCCGAGCTGCCTCAGAGCTGCTCCCGGTCCAGTCGGCATGGGCTGCAGCCCTTTAGGGAGCTCGGCCGCGGGGTATGGCGCACTCTCCCCGGGGTGCAGGTGCCTGTTAGTGTCCCAGGGAGCCTGAGGGCCTCCCCGCCCTCCTGGGGTCCTGCTCTAACTCCCTGCGAGCGCCTTTCCGCACGGGAAGGTTGGTGCAGCTCCTGCTTCTCCGGGACGGGGCTCTCCTGTCCTGGAGACACTCGCCCCGGCCTCAGCCCGGCTCCTCGCGGGGCCCCTCCCCCTTAGAGGCCTTTTGTTTCTTTCTGCCCCCCCCCCCCCCCCCCCGTCTTCCTACCTTGAACTCTTCTCACTGTAGCATTCCAGCTGTTCTCTCTTTAAATCTCAAGCTGAATTCGTAGGTTTTCAGGATGATTTGAAAGTTATCTAGGTAATTTGGTGGGGACAGGTGACTTGGGGACCCTACTCTTCCACCATCTTGTCCCGCCTCGGATTCTATACTTTAGCTGAATCTTGAACATCGAGTAATAGGAGCTACAGACAAAGAGCAGAGTGAGTCTAGCTGTTCCTGTCGTGGCCGGTATTCCATCTTCTAGAACTTATTTCCTGTCTTTCCTGGAGCGTCTCCGTGTGCCTCTCTTGGTCCTTCCCCCAGCCCTCTATCATGTTAATAAACGTGTGCTCCCACTGGAACCTCCCTGCTAGCACTTCAATTGTGCAGATGCCTATACCCTGCGGAAGTTTTGAGACCCAGTGCCCATAGCTGCAAATACCTTTCTACTTGGTGTCAAATTTTGTATTTTGAAATGTAATCCATTTTTTAAAGCTTAATGCAAAACAAGCCAGCAGACTATTGAACTTAAACCAGTCTGCCTTGTTGGCTCCTTAGTGAACAGTGGCTTTGTGTAAATATGTTTGACCTAAAGTCCTACTTTTCCTAAAATTATATTGTGTTCATACCTATGGCATCTTTCCCGGGCCCAGAATTTCACAGTTAGTCGTGTGTAGACAATTCATTGATGAGAGTTACCTGGATTACCACGACCAAGATGTTACAAAGTGCACAAAACTCTGACAGGGAGAGCCAAGATTAAGGAATGCTTTTCTCTAGGAAACAGTTCTACCAACAACAATATGGGAGTAAGAGTAACTTAAAATATGGAAGACATATTAAATGCATGACTGACTCCAAATTGCCATGTACTGTGCTTTGTATTATAGTATATAAAAACTACCCCATCTATGGAATGTTAAGCTAACACCCAAGACAATGAAAGCTTCCCCAAATCAATTTCCCACTATTTTCTAGTTTTACCAAAAAATAAACAACCAGAAATGATTTCACATCTTTAAAAAAAGCATTTGCACTTTAAAAAAATGGGATGAGGGGATCCCTGGGTGGCTCAGCGGTTTAGCGCCTACCTTTGGCCCAGGGTGGGACCCTGGAGTCCCGGGATCAAGTCCTACCTCGGGCTCCCGGCATGGAGCCTGCTTCTCCCTCCTCCTGTGTCTCTGCCTCTCTCTCTCTATGTCTATGATAAATAAATAAATAAATCTTAAAAAAATGGGATGAAGTCAGATTCCCTTCTTCTTAACACACTTCTACTAAAAAACTTGCATTTACAAGATAGTTGATAAAAATATTCCTCTGGATTATACAAGAAAAGAGACAGGGACTGCTGAAAGACTAGGTATAGGATATTAATCAGACCAGGCTTCTTTCTGTTCACCAGGAGCTGGACTCCTTGTTTTTAGTTTCTCCATTTTCTGCCAGGTAAATCTTCTTTGTACTTTTTGTTGTCTGAAGTTTTATCTTTTCCTGCTACCTTTTTGGCATCATTTCCACTCTTATATAGGAGCAGGTTTGGCCAACAAGCACGCTGATCTCTTGGGCTGTTCCTTAGCTGCCCCTCTGCCAGGCTGCCCTTCCTCTTGAGGATGGTGGCAAGTATGTGCCCACTGGTGCAGACCAGGTGCATGAGGATACCCAGAGACTCTGTGATGTGGGGTGCATGGCTGCTGCTGCTCCTCCTACCCCTGGAGCTCCCCTCAGAATAATTCTTAGTAATCTTGTCTTGGGCTATTACTTTGCAGTGTTTTGTCAAATCATATTCTAATATTTTAAATAAAATTGTATTAAATCTATATTTACCTAATGAGTACTGTTACATTTCCTAGTTGCACTAAACAAATCAGCTACATAAAACCTAAAGTGTCTGTATGAGGCTCTTAACCTCAGTCTTTTCTTTTTCCCTTTTTTTTCAGATTTTCTTTTTTATTTGAGAGCGAAAGCACAAGGAGGGAGAGGAGCAGGTTCCCCACTGAGCAGGGAGCCCGATGTGGGGCTTGATCTTAGGGTCCTGGGATCCAGTTCTAAGCCTAAGGCAGACTTTGACCTACTGACCCATTGAGGCACCCCAGTCTTTTTTTTTTTTTTTTAAAGATTGTGTCTTGAACCTAGTTATGGGTTTCAAACTCACAACCTGGGGATCAAGAGTTACAGGCTGTCCTGACTGAGCCAGTCAGGTGCCTCAACCTCAGTCTCAACTATCAATTATCACTGCTTTAAACAGCTTTCCTGTCTCTAACAAAACAAAGCAAAACAATTAAAAAAGAAAAAAAGCTACTGAATCACAATTAAACTACCTCATATAAGATTTAAAAAAAAAAAACCCAAACTAAACTAAATTAAATTGAGTTTGAGCCAAGCTGCTCCACTCCTCCAAGATATTCAGTGATTTTTTTGTGGTATCTTATAAGGCTTACAGAGAAGTCTCATTTTGTACCTCCAGTTTTGTTAGAATCATTCACATTGAAAACTAAACTCTATTGCCTGCAACTGACTAGCAACCAAACATTCTTCTCTAGTGTAATTTCACTGTACATAATACAGGCTCCAGAAAGGAGAAATATTCTCAAAGATATTGTATAGACAAATGCTGTCAAAGAAAATGTTCCAACGTTTCTTTCAATTTTTTTTGAAGGTTTATTTATTTATGATAGACATAGAGAGAGAGGCAGAGACAAAGGAGGAGGGAGAAGCAGGCTCCATGCTGGGAGCCTGACGTGGGACTCGATCCCGGGACTCCAGGATCGCGCCCTGGGCCAAAGGCAGGCGCCAAACCGCTGAGCCACCCAGGGATCCCCCCCAACGTTTCTTTCAAAACACAGAATTAGTGGGGAGTGCCTGCTGTAGTGCTGAGAGCTAGCCTCAGCTATCAAGAGTCATGCTGGGGAAGCAAAAGTCCAATTCAGATAAAGGAGAGAGAGAGAGAAAAAAAAAAAGAAAAAAAGAAGGGCAGCCCCGGTGGCTCAGCGGTTTAGCGCCGCCTTCAGCCCAGGGTGTTATCCTGGAGACCCGGGATCGACTCTCACGTGGGGCTCCCTGCATGGAGCCTGCTTCTTCCTCTGCCTGTGTCTCTGCCTCTCTCTTTCTCTCTCTCTCATGAATAAATAAATAAAATCTTTAAAAAAATAAAAAAGAAGAGAGACCTCTCTGAGGACCCAAGGCATTTAGTTGATGTCCAGAAATGCCACACCTTAGCAATATGGACCACACTGAGAAAAGGCCATGCTGTCGGGATGAAAACACATAAGCCTGTCTTAATCAAGAATAAAACCAAACCTGAAGAGATCAAAAGGATTTATCAGTCATTTAAAAGGAGGCCAGAACAACATATTTTAAAGGATGACAACATAATCCAGACTCCTTGTGATATATCACACAAAATGTCCAGCATAGGCTAAAAAATTATGCGGTATGTAAAAGAGGAACAGTATAACCCATAATTAAGAAAAAAAAAACAGCCAAAAGAATCAAGATGTTGGAATTAGCAGATAAGGGGCAGTGAAAGTATTTATAAACATGTCCAAGGATATATGGAAAAGCCTATAATGCGTAAAAAGATGCAAGCTGTACACAGAGAAGTGGAAAGAAAGAACAAAGTGGAAATCCAAGAAATGAAAAGTACAATATCTGAAATGAAAACTTCACAGGATGGTCTTTAAAAAAATATTTATTTATTTATTCATGACACACACACACACACACACAGAGAGAGAGAGAGAGAGAGAGAGAGAGAGAGAGAGAGAGGCAGAGACACAGGCAGAGGGAGAAGCAGGCTCCATGCAGGGAGCCTGATGTGGGACTCGATCCCGGGACTCCAGGACCACTCCCTGAGCCAAAGGCAGGTGCTAAACCACTGAGCCATCCAGGGATCCCCTGGGATGGTCTTTTACTTTTTTTGTTTGTTTGTTTTTTGTTTTTAAACACAACATATACTGCATTATTAGTTTCATGGGTACAATTTAGTTATTTGTCAGTTACATATAACACCCAGTGCTCATCATATCACATGCCCTCCTTAATGACATATCCCCCAGGTACCCCATACCCTCTTCTCACCTCCCCTCCAGCCACCCTCAGTTTGCTCCCTATAGTTAAGAGTCTCTGGTTTACCTCCCTCTCTGATTTTGTCTTATTTTATTTTTCCCTCCCTTCTCCTATGATCCTCTATTTTGTTTCTTAAATTCCACTTATGAGTGAGATCATATGATAATTGTCTTTCTCTGACTGACTTATTACACTTAGCATAATACCCTCCAGTTCCATCCATGTTGTTGCAAATGATAAAATTTCCTTATTTTTGAAAGCTGGATAATATTCTAATATATATATATATATATATATATATATATATATATATGCCACTACTTTGTTATCTATTCATTTGTCAATGGACATCTGGGCTTTTTCCATATTTTGCCTATTGTGCTATAAACATTAGAGTGCAGGTGTCCCTTCAAATCACTATGTTTGTATCCTTTGGGGTAAATACCCAGTAGTGCAATTGCTGGGTTATAGGGTAGCTCTATTTTTAAATCTTCAAGGAACCTCCACATTGTTTTCCAGAATGGCTGTACCAGAGTGGCTTTTCCAGAGTTTGAATTCCCATCAATAGTGCAAAAGGGTTCCCCTTTTTCTGAATTCTCACTAACATTTGTTGTTTCCAGAGTTGTTAATGTTTGCCATTCTCACTGGTGTGAGGTGGTATCTCACTGTGGTTTTGATTTGTATTTCCCTGATGGCAAGTGATGTGGAGCATTTTCTCATGTGCTTGTTGGCCATATGCAGGTCTCCTTTGGAGAAATGTTTGTTCATGTCTTCTGCCCATTTCTTGACTGGATTATTTGTTTTCTGGGTGTTGAGTTTGAGAAGTTCTTTATAGATTTATAGATTTTGGCTACAGATACTAGCCCCTTATCTGATGTGTCATTTGCAAATATCTTCTCCCACTCTGTAGGTTGTCTTTTAGTTTTGCTGATAGTTTCCTTTGCTGTGCAGAAGCTTTTTATCTTGATGAAATCCCAGTGGCTCATTTTTGCTCTTGTTTCCCTTGACTCTGGAGACATGTCTAGCAACAAGTTGCTGTGGCCAAGGTCACAGAGGTTGTTGCCTGTATTCTCCTCCAGGATTTTGATGGATTCCTGTCTCACATTTAGGTCTCTCATCCATTTTGAGTGTATCTTTGTATCTGGTGTAAGAGAATGGTTTAGTTTCATTCTTTTGCACGTGACTGTCCAATTTGCCCAATATCATTTGTTGAATAGACTGTCCTTTTCCCAGTGCATATTTTTTACTGCTCTGTCGAATATTAGTTGACCATAGAGTTGAGGGCCCATTTCTGGGTTCTCTACTCTGCTCCAGTGACCTATGTGTCTGTTTTTGTGCCAGTACCACACTGTCTGATGATTATAGCTCTGTAATACTGCTTGAAATCTGGCATTGTGATGCCCTCAGCTTTGGTTTTCAACATTCCTTTGGCTATTCAGGGTCTTCTCTGGTTCCATATGAATTTTAGGATTATTTCTAATAGCTCTGTGAAAAATGTTGATGGTATTTTATAGTTTCTTTTATTTTTATTTATTTATGATAGTCACACAAAGAGAGAGAGAGAGGCAGAGACACAGGCAGAGAGAGAAACAGGCTCCATGCACCGGGAGCCCGATGTGGGATTCGATACCAGGTCTCCAGGATCGCGCCCTGGGCCAAAGGCAGGTGCCAAACTGCTGCACCACCCAGGGATCCCTGTTGATGGTATTTTAAAAAAGATTTTATTTATTTGAGAGAGAGTGTGTGAGAGAGAGCATGAGCCAGGGGGAGGGGCAGAGGGAGAAGGAGAAGCAGACTCTCTGGGGCTGGATTCCAGGACCATGGGATCATGACCTGAGCTGAAGACAGTTGTTTGAGCCACTCGGATGAACCTGTTGATGGTATTTTGCTGGAAGTACATTGAATGTTAAGATTGCTCTAGGTAGCACAGACATTTTAACAATAATTGTTCTTCCAATCCATGAACATAGAGTATTTTCCCATTTCTTTGAATCTTCCTCATTTTCTTTCATAAATGTTCTACAGTTTTCAGAGTATAGATCCTTTACCTGTTTGGTTAACTTTACTCCTAGGTATCGTATGGTTTTTGATGCAATTGTAAATGAGATCATTCCTTCATTTCTCTTTCTTCTGTCTCAGTGTATAGAAATGCCACTGATTTCTGCATTTGTTTTATATCCTGCCACTTTGCTGGCTTGCTTTATGAGTTCTAGCAATTTTTGGGTAATCTCTTGGGTTTTCAACATAGAGTATCATGTTATCTGTGACTAGTGAGAGTTTCACTTCTTCTGTGCAGATTTGGATGTCTTTTATTTCCTTTTCTTGTCTGATTGCTGAGGCTAGGGCTTCCAGTACTATGTTGAATAACAGTGGTGAGAATGGACATCCCTGCTTTGTTCCTGACCTTCAGGGAAAATTTCTTGGTTTTTCTCCTGTTGAGGATATGTGCTGTGGGTTTTTCACATATGGCTTTTATGATACTGAGGTATGATCCTTATGTCCCGACACTGTGGAGAGTTTTAATCAAAAAAGGATGCTGTGTTTTTCAAATGCTTTTTCTGCATCTATTGAGAAGATAATATGGTTCTTGTCCTTTCTTTTATTAATGTGGTGTATCATATTGATTGAATGCAGATGTTGAACCACCATTGCAGCCCAGGAATAAATCCCACTTGATCATGGTAAATAATCCTCTTAATGTGCTGTTCGCTTACTGACTAGTATCTTGGTGAGAATTTTTGCATCTGTGTTCACCAGGTATATTAGTCTATAATTTTCCTTTTTGATGGGGTCTTTGTCTGGCTTTGTTTTTTGTTTTGGAATTTTATTTTATTATTTTTTCTTTTTTTTAAATAATAAATTTATTTTTTATTGGTGTTCAATTTGCCAACATACAGAATTGTCTGGCTTTGAAATCAAGGTAATGCTGGTCTCATAGTGAGTTTGGAAGTTTTCCTTCCATTTCTATTTCTTGAAACAGATTCAGAAGGTAGGTATTAATTCTTAAATGTTTAGTAGAATTCCATTGGGAGGCCAGCTGTTCCTGGACTCTTGTTTTTGGGAGATTTTTTATTGCTGCAATTTCTTTGCTGGTTATGGGTCTTTTCAAGGCTTCTATTTCTTCGATTTATGTCTCTGGGAATACATCCATTTCTTCGAGATTGCCTAATTTGTTGGCATATAGTTGCCTATAATATATGTTCTGATAATTGTTTATATTTCCTTGGTGGTTGTTATGATTTCTCCTCTTTCATTCATGATTTATTTATTTGGGTCCTCTCTGCTTTTAGAGAAGTCCAACTAGGGTTTTATTGATCTTATTAATTTTTTCAAAGAACCAGGTCCTAGTTTCATAGATCTGTTCTACTGTTCTTTTGGTTTCTATTATTTCTCTTCTCCTGCTGGGTTTAGGCTTTATTTGCTGTTCTTTTTCCAGCTCCTTTACATGTGAAATTAGCTTGTGCATTTGAGACTTTTCTTGTTTCTTGAGAAAGGCCTGTATTACTATATACTTTGCTCTGAGGACCACCTTTGCTGCATCCCAAAAGGTGCTGAAGTACCTGTTTTCATGTATTTTTAAATTCTTCTTTAATTTCCTGGCTGATCCATTCATTCTTTAGTAGGATGCTCTTTAACTTCTACATATTTGTATTCCTTTCAAATTTTCTCTTCTGAGTGATAACAAGTTTTAAAGCACTGTGGTCTGAAAATATGCAAGGAATAATCCCAATCTTCTGGTACTAGTTGAGACCTGATTTGTGACCCAATAAGTGATCTACTCTGGAGAATATTCCATGTGCACTTGAGAAGAATGTATATTCTGTTGCTTTGGGATGAAATGCTCTAAATATATCTAAGTCTTTCTGGCCCAGTGTGTCATACAAAGCCCTAGTTTCCTTGATCTTCTGCTTACACAATCTATCCATTGCTGTGAGTGGGGTGTTAAACTACCCTGATATTATTGTATTACTATCAATGTGTTTCTTTAATTTTGATATTAATTGGTTTATATATTTGGCTGCACCCAATTTAGGGGCATAAGTATTTATAATTGTTCGATCTTCTTTTGGATAGACCCTTTTATTATGATGCAACATTTTTCTTCATCTCTTACTACAGTCTTGGGTTTAAAATCTAGTTTGATATAAGGATGGTTACTACTTCAGCTTTGTTTTAATGTTCATTAGTATGATAAATGGTTCTCCACTCCCTCACTTTCAATGAGAGACCTCACTGGAGGTGTCTTTAGGTCTAAAATGAGTCTTTTGTACACAGCATATTAATGGATCTTATTCTTTTTATCCAATCTCTTGCCCTACATCTTTTGATTGGAGCATTTTGTCCATTTATCTTCAGAGTAATTATTGAAATATATGAATTTAGTGCATTGTATTATGCACCTTTTATTATGATGCAACATTTTTCTTCATCTCTTACTACAGTCTTGGGTTTATTATTGAATTATTGAAATATATGAATTTAGTGCATTGTATTATGCACCTTTTATTATGATGCAACATTTTTGCAGAGTAATTATTGAAATATATGAATAATCATATTGAAATATATGATATATATATCATTATTGAAATAGATGAATAATCAGAGTAATTATTGAAATATATGAATTTAGTGCATTGTATTACCTGTAAAGTCACCCTTCTTGTAAATTGCCTCTGTTCCTCTCTGGTCTTTGTTACTTTTCACCTCTCTCTTCACTTGAAGCATCTTTAGTGTTTGCCGGGCTGGTTTAGTGTTCATGAATTCCTTTAGTTTTTGTTTGTTTTGGAAACTCTTTTGTTTCCTTCTCCTTCTCTCCTTCTATTCTGAATGGCAGCTTTGCTGGGTAAAATATTCTTGGCTACAAATTTTTCCCATTTAGCACATTGACTATATTGTGTGAGTCATTTCTGGCCTGCCAGGGCTCTGTGGTCAGGTCTGTTGCCAGTCTTGTTTCTACTCTTCTAGCTGCTTTTAGAATTTTCTCTTTCTCAAAAAAATTTTTTTTTCTCTTTCTCTCTGAAATTTACACACTTCACTATTATAAGTTGAAATGTTGATCTATTTTTACTCATTTTTAGGGAGGTTCTCTATACCACTTAGACTTGAATAGCCTGCTTCCTTTTCCAGGTTAGGGAAGTTCTCAGCTATAATTTGTTCAAATAAACCTTCTACCCTCCCTTTTCATCTTCTGAAACCTCCATAATCCATATTTTGTTTTGCTTTATGTAATCACTGATTTCTCAAAGTCTCCCTTTATGACCTGGTAGTCTTTCTCTCTTCTTTTTAGCATCCTAGTAGTTCATCAGCGAGGTCTTTTGTCATGACTGGATGTGGCATAAAACATGAAAATCCACAGTCCAAAGCCCTACTTGGAGCAAAAGGAGACCTGGAAATTTTGTGTGAGTTATTTAAAGGACATGGCTTCATTCAAAAGGGCTTTCCATAGTATCCTAAAAGAATTATCAGCCTATGTGTATTCTCTGTTATCCTTTCAGGATTGCTTTTTGGATAAAATTCTTCCTACGTTCATATTTATATAGTTTCTCTCCTGTGTGGGTTTCCTGGAGTCAAATGGCTTGGTCCTTCAACCATACGGATTTTCCATAGTTATTCTATCAATGGGGTTTTCCGCCCTCCTGAATTCTCTGGCAAACATTTAGAGTTGACTTCTTATATAATTTTCCAAATTCATTACCTTCATAAGATTTCTCCCCATTGTGAATTCTCTGATGTATTCTGAGGTTTGATTTCTGGCCAAAAGTTTTCGCACATTTATTACACTGAAAAGGTTTCTCCCCTGTATGAATTCTCTGATGATCACTAAGGATCGCCTTCCGGACGAAATTTTTGCCACATTCATTACACTTAAATGGTTTCTCCCCAGTATGAATCCTTTGATGCACTCTAAGGGTTGATGTCCGGGCAAAAGTCTTCCCACATTCATTACATTTAAATGGTTTCTCTCCTGTGTGTGTTTTCTGATGTTGAATAAGATGGTCTTTTCGCCAGAAGGATTTTTCACATTCGTTACATTGATATGTTTTCTCACCGCTGTGAGTTCTCTGATGTATTCTAAGGTTTGACTTCTGACCAAAAGTTTTCCCACATTCTTTACACTGAAAAGATTTCTCTCCTGTGTGAATTCTATGATGATCTCTGAGGGTTGACTTTTGAACAAAAGTTTTCCCACATTCGCTACATTTATAGGGTTTCTCTCCTGTATGAATTCTCTGATGTCCCCTGAGGGTTGACTTCTGGACAAATGTTTTCCCACATTCATTACATTTATAGGGTTTCTCTGCTGTGTGAATTCTCCAATGTGTACTGAGGTGTGACTTCTGGGAGAAAGTTTTTCCACATTCATTACATTCAAATGGTTTCTCTCCTGTGTGAGTTCTCTGATGTTGAATGAGATGTCCTTTTTGAAAGAAGGATTTACCACATTCTTTACATTTATACGGTTTTATCTCAGAGTGAGTTCTCTGGTGTACTTTGTGAGCTGATATCTGGTAGGATTTCCTGCTTTTATGATACTCAGAGGATTTATCCTCAGTTTGTGTTCTGTCATTACACACCAATGGGTTCTCTTCTGTGATAATTCTCTGAAGTTGAGTGAGGTGTGACTTCCTGTTGAAATTATTTCCACTTGCATTACATTCATTTTGTTTCATAGCCATGTTAAACTTACTATATTCCTTAAGAGCTGACTTCTCACAGATGGATTTCCCATATTGGTTAAAAGGAGAGTATTTCTCCTCTATCCCAGTTCTTTTACAGTCAAAGATAGTTGTTTTTTTGTTTTCCCTACATTCATCATCTTTATAGGATTTTTCTCTTGTATGAATACTCTTATGTGTAACACAAGTAGCCTCATCATAGAAGGCTTTTCCAATTCCATTATATTTAAAACCTTGCTCCAACGTTTGACACTTTTGATTCTCAGGAAGATTTTCCTTATAACTAAAAGCTTTCCCATTTTTATTATATTCATAAAATTCCTCTCCAGTATGAGTTCTCTCAAACTTAATTTTGAAAGACAAATTTTCACATACACTATTGCAATTTGTTTTTTTGGTTAGGTAAGCTCTACTATTAATGACAAATTGGGAAATTTTTTGCAAATTTACTCCCCATGAGTCATATTTATGGGACATTTTTGTTGAAATAGGAGCTATGTGCAGATTAAATTGTTTTCCCCAAACTTCCTCTTCCTTTCCAGTCAATGGTTTATTATTGATGAATATTAATTCCTGCAAGTGTTTATCTTTGATTTTCTTGTTCCTCTTCATCAGGTCATCATCACTGTAATCTTCTAAAACAGAGATAAATTGAAAACATCTTAAGAATCTTACATTTATTATGGGTGGGACCTACAGACAAATAACCTATATTGCATTTTGTTTTTTTCGTTTTCCAAGATTAAATAATTTATGTGTGTGTGTGTCCTCACCCTTCTTTAAAAAACTTATTGGTATAGTGAAAATGAGAGAGGAAACTGGTAATAAATACCTATCTGTATTTGGATTGTGATAAGTTGCCCTTCCAACTGAGGTGGAGAAAGAATAGAAATTAGACTTTATAGGAGTGGTTATTTTGAGCAACAGGAAAACCAGATAATGGGATGAAGACAACAAAACTATATAAACTTAAGTTCAGCAACAAAATAATTAGGAGATAATGAACACTGATAGATTAGGACCAACAGGGAAAGAGTTTGCTTTGAGGAAATATATTATAGTCCTATGCTATCTAGGATATACTGATAGACTACTCAAGAGTCTACTACTTCCAATTTGATATCTCTTATTTCTATTCAATCCTTCAACATCAAATCAAAATTGATTTCAACTTTCCTCATGATTAAATGAAGCAGCTCAGGATCTAATCCATCTCATAGTAGTAAGTCATGGAAGTACAAACAAATATAAAACGACAAAAGGAAAATCCTTCTTGCAACTAAATTAGATTTGCTGCTCAATTCTGCTTTGGTACCTTTATTTTATCAAAATTCAATGGTAAGTGAACCTGATCATCTCATCCTAAATTTCCACACTTTAATTTGATATGAGGAGTTCATGTATTTTACGTATGTATGTATATATGTAGGCTCTATGCCCAGTGTGGGGTTTGAACTCAAGACCTTGAAATCAAGAGTTGCATGCTCTACCAACTGAGCCACTGAAGTGCTCCAAAGGATATGATTTTTTTTTTAATTTTTTTAAATTTATTTATGATAGTCACACAGAGAGAGAGAGGCAGAGACATAGGCAGAGGGAGAAGCAGGCTCCATGCACCGGGAGCCCGACGTGGGATTCGATCCCGGGTCTCCAGGATCACGCCCCGGGCCAAAGGCAGGCGCTAAACCGCTGCGCCACCCAGGGATCCCCCTTCTGGAGTTTTAAATACCCCAAGAGAATTCTGTCTGCTAGTGCTTAGTAACTCACCTAGGTGGCTCTGGTTTGAGAATTCTTCCTCCAACAACCAAGGCTCCTCTCCTTGCTCCAACTTGAAGATTACTGCTGGTTTAAAAATGCAGTTCCCTGTAGACAGAGAACAATGGAGTACTTAGGACAGATGATGAGCTTTTGGTTTCTTTTCTTTTCTTTTTTTTTGAGCTTTTGGTTTCTTAATTGTAAAAAGATACAGCTTCAGAAGTAGCACCTTGAAGATCCTGATTTAAAATCATCATGTGGAGTTGACAACTCCTCTTATTTCTCAAGAGGCTTAGTTAATTTTATACTCTTGAATGAAATGCCTCAATGACATTAAAATATAAAGTATTCATATATATTAGTGCATAAAAAGGAAATGCCTTCAATATGGTGTGATGAGGGTAAGTTATATTTATATGCTCACCCACTGAGACTAGGTTGTTGTAGTTCTCCAGCATCACATCTCTATATAGGGTCCTTTGAATAGGACCCATTTGCTGCCACTCCTCTTGGGTGAATTCCACAGTCACATCCTTGAATGATATTGATGCCTGTAACAGTACACTTCTGTTCAATCTGAAGGGTTCAAAATTAGGTGACATACTCATAAAAACAATTCTTAACTTTACTGTAAATAATTTAAAACAAATGAATAGGGTGCCTGGGTGGCTCATTGAGCATTTGCCTTTGGCTCAGTTCATGATCCTGGGGTCCTGGGATCACGTTCCATATTGGGCTCCCCACAGGGAGTCTGCTTCTCCCTCTGCCTATGTCTCTGCTTCTCTGTGTCTCTCATGAATAAATAAATAAAATATTTTAAAAAATGAATATAAAGAATGCTTATTTTGAATCTAACTTATATTTTGGAGGTATTCAATGAGTAAACATGTTTATAACTTAATTTCTATATATTTATGAGTTCTCTGCACATACTATAAGTATATTAAACTTTGTTTTAAAAAAATTTTTAAGCAAAAATGATAAATTTCCTACAATTTTTATCCAACACCCTAATATCTACCCTGGGCATATTCTAGGGTAAGAGTCAACAGATTATGACCTGTGGCCAAATCTAGCTTGCCACTTCTTTAATAAATAAAGTTTTCGGGATCCCTGGGTGGCGCAGTGGTTTGGCGCCTGCCTTTGGCCCAGGGCGCGATCCTGGAGACCCGGGATCGAGTCCCACGTCGGGCTCCCGGTGCATGGAGCCTGCTTCTCCCTCTGCCTGTGTCTCTGCCTCTCTCTCTCTGCGACTATCATAAATAAAAATAAAAAAAAAAATTAAAAAAAAATAAATAAATAAAGTTTTCTTGCAACATAGCCACCCACCCACCCCAATCATTCTGTACTGTTCATGGTAGTTTTTGTGCTGTAACCACAGAGTCTAGTAATTCTATTGGAGACCTTATGACTATCAAAACTATCTGACCCATTACAGACAAGATTTGCCAACTTTTGGACTATCCAATCAATTAAAGGAAAGACTAAAAACAACAGAGAAAACACAATTAACAGAGAGGGATATATGTAGATAGAAAAAATATACATAATTATCAGTCAAAAGAAAGTTGGTGTGGTTATGTTACTATGAAAACAATAAGAGTAAGAAATTATCATTAAACATGGTAACTGGGCAGCCTGGGTGGCTCAGTGGTTTAGCGCCGCCTTCAGCCCAGGGTGTGATCCTGGAGACCCGGGATTGAGTCCCACGTCAGGCTCCTTGCATGAAGCCTGCTTCTCCCTCTGCCTGTGTCTCTGCCTCTCTCTGTGTGTGTGTCTCTCATGAATAAATAAATAAAATCTTAAAAAAAAATAAAATGGTAACTATTTATGATCCTTTTAACAGAAGATGTAAGAAACATAAATTGTTATGCATTTGAAAACTTAGCTTCTAAATACAGTCAATTATCATTATTTGCAGGTGCTGTATCTGTAAATTCACTTCACTAAAATATACTACTAACCTCAATACTCATGACTTTGTAATATTTATGGACACTTGGAGAAAGGTAAAAAATTTGAGTGTCCAACACATTTTCCCAGCTGGAGCTGAACAGGATAATGCTTTGTCAAATGTTTGTTTTGCAATCTATTTATCATATTCTTTGCATTTTTGTGCTTTTGCTTGGTGTTTTCATTTTTAAAATGCTCCTCCACCCATGTAATGCAGATATGCTGTCTAGTATTCCTGAGTGCAAGAAGGTTGTGATATGCCTTAGAGAGATCAAGGGTGTTAGATAAATTTTGAGAATTAATTATGCTGCTCTTAGTTGTAGTCCTTATTCATGAAATAATATATTAAATAAGATATTTGTAAACAGAAACACACAGAAAACAAGGTTGTATGTTGAATGGTTGACCAAAATGTGACTAGAAACACAAGAACTTAACCTTGTCTTTCCTCTAGAAGCAATGATTCAGTATTTGCTAATTTAGTGATCACAGCAATTTTATAGAAAACCCCTGAGAATAGTGAGAATCAACTATATATAAACAAAGTTGATAGAAATGAGAGATGGATCCATAATTAATTATAAATAATTTTAACACAACTCACAGGGCAAGCTGACTGAAAACACCAATAGAGATTTAGAAAGGGGTCAGCAGCAGCCAAGAGGGAAAATCTGGTCTGCTCATTTTGTTTTGTTTTGTTTTGTAAGTAAGATTTTATTGGAACACAGTCACATTCATTTGTTTATATATTATCTATGACTGCCACAGCATTAAACCATAGAGTTCAATATTTCCAAAAAGACCGTATCTCCCATAAAGCCTACTATCTGACATTTACAGATGAAGTTTGCTGATCACTGGTACAGAAGGTTTAAATGATATAAATAACAATTTGAGTAACTGAAACATATAGGATAACCTAATTATAAGAAATCATTTTCTGGTGCATTTTGCGTATTGGAAATAAAAACAGTAAGTCTCATTAAATTAGAAAAGACTACAATCATACAGTGTAGCTTTGGGTTTTAGCTCAGATGTAGAGAGCTGAAAAGAGCAAAACTATCATCCTTACAATAAAAGCAAAGGTAGGCAGATTGAAAAATGAAGGTTTTTGTTTTTTTTTTTAATTCATCAGAGAAATGAAACGGCTTAACAAACAATTTGAATCAGGAGAGAGACAGGTATCTGTAGGGAGAATCAGGACCTGCTTGTCTGTTTACTGGACCATATGCTACCAAACTTCATATAATATGAAAGAAAGATAAAGCTAGAAAAATATTAAGAACCTGCTAAAAGCCACATGTGCACAAATGTTAGAGTATGAAGTCCCTGAGGAGGTGGTGTGTGTCACAGACATAGTGTGATTTCTAGCTTTTCTCCAGGAACCTAGTCTGTTCACAGAGATGACTGGGGAGAAATTCAAGGAAGTCCTTTCCTGCCCCATGTGCTACTTGCTAGTGTAGGGAAATAATAGTCAATGCTTAAATCCACTCATATATATATAGATATATTGCTTATTTAGAGAAAGGTCAATAAAACAAATAACTGTGGAAGGAGCCTCGGTGTCCATTGAAAGATGAATGGATAAAGAAGATGTGGTTTATGTATACAATGGAATATTCCTCAGCCATTAGAAACGACAAATACCCACTATTTGCTTCAATGTGGATGGAACTGGAGGGTATTATGCTGAGTGAAATGAGTCAATCGGAGAAGGACAAACATTATATGTTCTCATTCATTTGGGGAATATAAATAATAGTGAAAGGGAATAGAAGGGAAGGGAGAAGAAATGGGTAGGAAATATCAGAAAGGGAGACAGAACATAAAGACTCCTAACTCTGGGAAATGAACTAGGGGTGGTGGAAGGGAAGGAGAGCGCTAGGTGGGGGTGAATGGGTGACGGGCACTGAGGGGAGCACTTGGCGGGATGTTATTCTGTATGTTGGCAATTGTTATTCTGTATGTTGGCAAATTGAACCCCATAAAAATAAATTTATTATTAAACAACAACAACAACAAATAACTTAATGTATTGGTTGTGTCCCCTTGCACATAGTTTTCAAATGTTGCCCAGACCCATCTACTTTATCTCTCCTAAGTAATAAAGCATCTAAATGGTGAGATGTAAATTCTTAGTGCCTAAAACTGAGGTTAAATTAGAAGATAAGCCTCAGAGAACTGTCATTATTTGACTTGTCTTGTAGCTCCCTGGAACATCCCACTCATATAGCTGTCTTCATTTCACATAACTCAAAGCTTGCCCACTGCAAACAGCATTTTCTCTGGGGAGCATGACATTAGTTAAGAAAGAAAAAAACTCATGAGATATTGTTTACCATCATAGCTTTCTCAGGCAGTTTGTAACAATTAAAGGAAACAACAGTCTAATTAAAAAGCTTAAAAGGAAAAGCTGAAGCATGATATATACAGAAGGGGCTTTGAAAAGCTCAGACATCTCTCTGGGAATCTACAAGGTGGCACATATGCCCTGGGCTATGAGAAAGTACTAAACTTGCTTCTCATTAACCTTGAGGCTCTGTGAAAAGTGAAGGTGAATACAAAATAGTAAATGCCAGGCTAACTGTTGAAGGGATGCCCCAACATATACATCTTGGCAAAGATTAGAGCCTTACCGGTTACATGTCCTTAAGGAAATCATTGTCCAATTATTAGCTGACTATTTAGCTAATAGAGTGGAGACTTCAGTGGCCAGACATGACAAAGAATATAGGTTGTACAGAATCCATTCAACAGAGTCACTAAACAAATGACAGCTGTGGTAGAGTGATAATATGATGATAAATCAACACAGTATATTTTAAATGTCAAGTTTTCAACAAAAATTAAGACAAATAAATGAAAAAGTATGGTACATACATAGAAAAAACAAACCCAAAACTATGTATAAAACAGTGTAGAAACTGTCTCTGAGGAAGTCCAGATACTGGACTTACTAGACAAAGACTTTCAATAAACTTAAATATATACCAATAACTAAAGAAAACCGTACCTAAAAAAACAAAAAAAGGTATAAGAACACATTTTCACAGAATAAAGGATACATATAGACAGAAAATAATATATATGATGAAAAAGCAAGCTGAAATTCTGAAATAACAGAATTTGAAATTTTTTTTTTTAAGATTTTATTTATTTATGAGAGAGAGAAAGGCAGAGACACAAGCAGGCTCCACGCAAAGAACCTGATGTGGGACTCGATCCCCCAACTCCGGGATCACGCCCTGGGCCAAAGACAGATGCCCAACCGCTGAGCTACCCAGGCGTCCCCAGAATTTGAAAATTTAAAATCTGAAATATGAAAATGCAGTAATAGAAGTGAAAAATTCGCTAGAAGTCTTAACAGTAGATCTGAACATGAAGAACCAATTTTGAATATAAACCTAGTGAGATGATACAATCTGAGGACAGAAAGTTAAAAGCAGGGAAAATGAACAAAAAGCCTCAGTGACCTGTGGGGAAAAAATCAAATATCCAAATACAGCAATATCCACATGAAAGGAGGAGGAGGAGAGAGGAAAAGGGGCAGAAAAACAGAGTGAATCTTGAAAGCAGCAAAAGGGAACTGACTTATCAC